ACGAGGATTTCGTGACACATTTTTAATTGGCTGTGTCGGGCAGAGGTGGGTTTAACGACACATATATATTTACGTGATCTAACCCAAAAAAACCTCTTATTTTTATTTGATTAGCGAATCTCGCACCGAATCCATTAAATATGTAAACCTCCCGTTTACCAACCCGAGTTGACCAGCATGGGGAGGCCTTCATCCAGCAGTGGATTAACAAATGGCTTTAAAGGAAATTAATGAATTACTAAATTATACTTTACAGTGCTCACTGAAGGCTGCATCGACCTATGGGAGGCACAGAACACGTTAAGATATTAATTGCCACTGACGTTATCCGTGGCCAGGAATCCAACTCATGATGCTGGGTTCAAAGCAAAGGTGTGCAAATAATTGTGCAAATATTTTAAACGTTTGCATCATGGTCAGGCAACGATCACTCACACACGCCCAAGTGTAGACCATGCATCTCGAGCAAAAGTATCCAAACAAATGAAATAATAACACAGCGCACGTGAAAAAAGCTCTAAACCAAACGTTCTTTCACGCATTACTGGGTAGATTGTCCCCCCCCCCCAAAAAAAAAGCCCTCTTTTTGCTCCCCTCCACAGAAAAGAGCGTTGAGCCCGTCAAGGCTCGAATAAACAAATGCAGCTGCACCATTGCACGGTCCGAAGGGTCAGAGACGTCAGAGCAACAAAAGACGTTGACAAAATTTTCCCCACAGGGGCTGCACTCAGCAACTCACCAAAGCGTGGCATCGTTTTTTATTCACTTGAAATGGGTGGGTGGAGGGGTTGGGGGTTCTTTATGCATACAGGTATAACAATAGGCAATGTCAAATGTTGTTTGGAGGCGTTTATTAGCCATTCGAGTATTACGGGGATTAACGTATAGTTAGTTGTGTTAGTCGTGCGTGTCAAGGGTAGTTTTGCGCCATAGGATTAGACATGTGCTTCCTAGAGCAGAACTATGATGTTTATTATTACACCCTGGGCAACACCCTCCTGCAAAAGGTGTTTTAAGACTCTTAGGTCTTCCTGCGTAAACGAGGATTATTGTTTATACCATCACCAGAAAATGCTGCACTCTGTATTTTAGTGTACAGCAAAACATCATCAAACCTTTGAGAGATGTGTAAAAAAAATACGTGTTGGTTTACTTTCAGTGTGCACATTTGAAGACGTATTCGCTCATAATGTACTGTAATGTAATACACAATGTGGATTTGTATAAGCTGCAATTATCGAAAAGTACGGTAAATCTGCTTCCTTTTAACAAATGTTCACGGGTTTTGTATTACGTAGACACGTGTTCCCTACTAAAAGCTAATTATACGTTATCCTGTTATCACCTCACACAAAAACTGGAAATGCCTTCAAATGCTGACACTATAGGGAGCTAACGTTACAATACATTCCGCATGTTAAAATGTGTTGATTTAATGTGTCATCTTATTTTAAAAAAGGTAAAGTTTTCAAGACCTGTGTTATCACTGCATGTTTTTTTGTTGTTGTAAGAACTGTTCTTACATAACTACTGTACCAAGTTACCCAAGTGCTCTTTACAAAAGGGGAAATGGCTTTGTTTGGGTCTTCGCCTGTGTAAATAAAAGATATCATCAAACATTACAAAAAAAGTTTAACACGTAGGCTTTCGCGACCAATATTATTAATAATAAAGGTTTTTGGGTTAGATCGCGTTTATTTATAAATGTGTCGTAACCCTCCACCACCCGACACGGCCAATCGGCAAAAAAGTGTCACGTTGACAAAAGGCTGAAGTAGTGAATTATTTGTCTTTTGTCAACGTGACACTTTTTTTGCTGATTGGCCGTGTCGGGTGGTGGAGGGTTACGACACATTTATAAATAAACGCGATCTAACCCAAAAACCTTTATTATGAATTACAAAAAAACCCTGGCCATTGGCTACCTCCTTGCTCATCACAGTCGCATCTGAAACGAACGTTAGAACTGCGTTTCTCAAACCGTAGGGTGCTCAGCCCCCCTGGGAAACCAAAAAAGCTTTTCAGAGTGAGAGCAGGCTGCGGCACGGAGACCGTGCAGGAAATATTCCGAAATCGTACGTCAACGCCACGCTGCGTACAACATCACGCGCGAATGCACAGCATCAAGCAAGTGTCTAACAAAACGCACTAATACACATGACACAAATGCCTTACTAACAACAGTGCACTGACTAGAGGCGTAGACATCTCCCTGTGTATTCTCTGATTTTGTCATCTGGGAGGTGGTACAGGGGCTGGTGGGTGGTGGGGAGGGATCAGTGGTCTTTATGTGGGGGGCATCATACCACAAAGGTTGATAACCACGGCCTAAGAATATTAGATAAACCCATAACATCCTAAAGGATAGACTGGCCTTTTATGGACATGACCAGTGGTCTCTTTTGAAGAAACAAATAAGAATATTAGTGGATCATCATAATCATCATCGGCCGTGGTAAATACACTCCAGGGTTGAGGGCCTACCCAAGCCATCGCCATCTCTCATCATGCTCAGATGTAATAGATGGGGCTCTTTACATAGGAAAAATATCATCGGTCATCTAATTTGCCTTTTTATAATGCACCTTTCAAGTTACTCATTATGTAATGACAGATTGCCTCATCGCAAGCGTGACACGTGAATGTCTCACCTTTGAAAATTGCCAATACAATGCACAAAGTATGTTATTTAAATGTTGCTCACAGAGGTATGACCGTATAATGCTGCAATACTAAGGAATGCACTTTATAACCTATGCAGAGTGTGCAGACTACAGCTTGTGTTTTGTTTGTACAGCCGCGCATAGTGTTGATTCTGAACGGGTGTTGATTTTACAGTCATATAAATCAACACAGGCCGAGGCATTTGATGTGTGTATGAATGGCTACATGCATAGAGTTCAATGTACAACCCATATAAGTATGTGTCATATATATGTGTGGAATTATACACAATGTAAGTTTATGAATGCTCTCCTCTATGCAGAAAGTCACGTGGCTTATTGTCAACATTATTTATTTGACAAGAGCCCATTGACGTTGTCTTTTTCAAAGTATGTTGTTGAACCTCTTTCGGACCTTACGTAGCCAACCGTACTAATCAGTTGGCAATGGAGACCTGGGGTGATGTCTGTGAAAATCATCGTTTTCAGAAATAAATACTCTGTGTAGAGTTTGAGCGGTGTCTCGGCAGTAGAGCCGAGAAGCTCGCAATCGGATTGACTCAACCCATCATCACATCATCCCTCCAGGGCATCACTTCGTGAGGAAGTCGTAAGCGGTTGTCCTATGGAGAAGATTCACCGACACCATAGTCACGTGCCAGGGGTCGACAGCCAGCGGTTCTTTGGAGGGGCATGCGGCTGTTTAAGGATCCCTTCGTGACGTTCCGTATTCAGGATCGTCTCGTATTCACATGCATTGAGGCTTTTGAAATATTGAGTTTCTGACGGAATTCGAAAAAATATGCCTCTTCTTGTTATTTAGGTCGCTGACCTCCAGGTCATGCACCACTGCCTAATGACTGTAAGCACGCAATGAGCACCGCGGTGGCGAGATGTTAACTACCTCCCCTTGTGTACAGGAGGTTGTGGGGTCGATCCTGACCCTGGCGCCTGTATACAGTATTTGGAGTTTGCATGTTCTCCCCGTGGTCGCGTGGATGTTTCTCCGGGTGATACGGGTGTTTCCCTCCACATCTAGAAGCAAGAGTGTAGAGCATTTGGTTGCTCTAAATGTCCACATGATAAACCACTTAAATGGGATATCATTTGTGGCCAGATCGCTTCTGAAAACAGAGCTCTATAGCTCAGTGGGACTTACCTGGCAAAATAAAAAAAATGTTTATAGTTTTACCACCTCAATGCTCATTTCAACACTAGATCACTGACTTTTTGACTTAGGTTTGAGTATACACATGTAATGTAACATATGGTCACATACAAACATTTTGGCTGCAGTTATAACTGCCCCACAAAAGAAAAGGAATTTAGAAATGTTGTACAGTGTTGTTAAACAGAATAATCATTGGTTACAGTGGTATGTATTAAATACTGAACTTTATATGTTTAATGCAATCACATTGGGGTGTCCAAATAAACAAAAACATATAGCATCACGTCGTAATGCATTTAAAAAAAATTCATATCTGAAGTGTATTAATACTTTCAATAAAGCATTATCAAGACTTTTTGTAAACCCTGATAATATTTAGGTATATGTACAGTATTTTGGTAGGAAGTCAATCATATGTTTGTAAGTATTTATAAAAATACAAATTTTGTATCCTTTATAAAGTGGTGGTCTAGTGGTTCATGCATTGCGCTTCGAACTTTGTGATCTAAGTTCGAGTCGCAGCCACAGGTAATGTCAGTGGTGAGTGATATCAGAACTGGTCCTGGAGCACCCCCTTCAGCACAATGAATTGACCAGCGTGGTGAAGTATGGTCGAACAACCCACAACTAACGTGCTTTTCTCTAGCAGTGGCTTTAAAAAGGCCTGTGAATTACGTGTATTTATTGTTTAACATGTAATATATGCATATGCAGTCATTAAATAGTTATGCATATTCGAATAATGTCCTAGAAAGGCTAGACAACTTAAGTTTGGTTGAAATAAGTAAAAACCATGATTAAACGGTAAGTAAAATAATTTAAAACCAAATTTGTTTTGCGATTCTCAAAATTGGAGGGTGATTTTGTTTTACTTTTTTGTTTATGGAACCTGGATCTGGAGTGGCCTTCACCCAGCAGATTAACGAAAGGCTTTTTGTCACATGCATTGTATGCGTCTTGAAAAAAATATGCGTTTGTAGAAAGCGGCTGTACCTTAAAACAAGTCGTGGAACTGAAGACGCAGATGTTAGGCGAAGCAATAAACGCACGGGGTGGGCAGGTGAAGAGGTCGCGAGGTGCATGGCGCGAGAGGCGGGCGGGTGGGGTGCACGTGTTGTTGGGATGGCTCCAGCAGGGAGGGAGGAGGGCTTGTTGGAGCTTGTGTGTGTGTGTCTGTACGTGACGCCACGCTGGGTGTTGCAAGCTCAATGCGCGAATTGAAAAGGAAAGAGCAAGCGTGTTACGCTCCAGCAGCAGTGAGTCAGTGAGGTTTTTTTTTTCTGAAGGCCGCAGAATTACTTAAAGCACAAGCCATTTCATCTCAACACATAACAACGAACGCTGCCACTTTGCACTACTATAAATACATCGACATGGAAGCAGCCTACGCCAAACTGAAGAGGCATATTGATGCTTTCGAGAAGCACATCGCATCCTGTAGGTCCTCGTTCGATGTAGCGTTGCTGTACCGCATGCTGAGGATCTTTTCAGAGTCTCAGCGCAGTGAAATCACGGGGCTCGCGGCTCTCAGAGGTCCTCCAGCAAGGGGAGGAGGAGGACATTTAGGAGGTGCACAAAGAGGAGGACATTTAGGAACAGGACAGCGTGGTGGACCTTCAGGAGCAGGACATGGAAGAGGACATATAGGAGGAAGCGAAGGAGGAAGACAGTTGGGAGGAGGACAAAGAGGGGATGGACAAGGAGGAAGAGGACATTTAGGTGGGCCAGAAGCGGAATCCTCCGAAGTCAGCACCTACCTCACCTGGCTTGGTGAATACGTGCGCTACTTGGTCGTTCTCAAAAAGGTGTTTGATGAGCGCATTTTCATCCCCCTGTGCGAGAACCTCTACTTGAACGAGGGGTCGGTGCAGGTGCCAGTACCAAAGCGTCAATGCGTGGGCTCTGCCCAGTCCGCCTCCTCTGGTGTCTCCAGCCGCCCCAGCACAGATGTGAGCAGCTGCGACTCACAAGACTCGAGCTCAGCAGAACATCACCATCAAGGACACGATGATGATGATGATCATCATCAGCACCTCTTGGGAGGTCCACAGCGATCCGTGCCCCGCATAGCGAAGTGCCTGTTTCGCCTGCGAAAGCAGTGGGCCCTGCTGCTGAGAGGCGATGAGCTCAGAGATGAGTATTTCTCAGCCGAGAGCGGACCGGCACTGCTCCATTTCCAGGGCTGCGACTCCTTCTACAAGGTGCTGCGGCTGGTGCCCGACATCTTCTGCAAGGCCCTGCGCGCCGCTCGTCTCTGCAGGGAGTGGGTGGATGCCCACAGCGTGACGCTCGCCAGCGTGCACGCCATCGATCCTGCTGCGCCTGGCACTCTGTCCTCGGAGCTCCCGCAGCTGGAGATGTCCGAGATGTTCGTCAGCAGGTGCGGCCGCGTGGATGAGCTCAAACGCTCCGTGGACAGCAGCAAGGCCAGACTGGTGGCACTCAACGAGGAGCTGGAGGCGCGGCGCAGCGAGCGCGACTTGCTGGAGGAGCGACTCAGGGCTCTGCTCCCCGGAGAAGATGACGGGGGACGGGTGACTCTGCAGGAAAGGCTGGAAGTGGCTCGGAGCAGGGTCGATGTTCTGGGATCGGCGATCAGGTTGGAGCGGTACCGGCAGCGGTTACTGGTGGGGGACTGGCTGGCAGAGTTGGAGTCACAGCCAGACCGTATTCGGCACGCGGACAGAGTGTGAATTTTGAAGCTTGGTAAGTGTTGTGGTTTGGAGTTGAAATATATATGTGTTTTGTTAGAGGGTATATGGGGATGTTAATGAAGGGACTATATTGTATTTGAAGCTTTCGTGACTGCAGGAATCAGGGGCGGAGCCAGGGGGGTGACAGGGTAGACAATTGTCACCCCCGAAAAAAAATAAAAAATCGAAAATCTGAAACATTCTGCGTGTAAAGTGTACGACACTCGGTCTGGCGGACTCCGTGCAACTGCAATTGTCAGAGTGTGTCGCCAAACCGATGGCGTCTAGTTCAACAGCCTGACTCTCTAATCATTCTTGAAATTAACATTTGTTGAATGTCACCCCGGGCTGAAAATCCTGGCTCCGCCGCTGGCAGGAATCCATACTCTTTGGCTCTTTCGGTAAAGTCACGTATGCAGAAAAATAAATAAAACATAATATATCAAAAATAATCCAGCAGTGGAACTTCTGAACCAGCAGTCCCACTGTCCCACTGCTGGTTCAGCAGTTTCCACTGTTGGATTGTTTTTTTCCGCCTGAGTGTTGCGATCGAAACGTCGTGATATATTATTTTTTATTTTATTTTGCTACCTACGTGACTTTACCGAAAGAACCAAGGAGTATGACTAAATTGTAGTTAAAGTTAAATTGACTGTCAACTCAAGCGTGGGCCTGTGCTCATCTCCGCTGGTGTCCTGAGCCACCGATTCCACATTGCTTTAGTGGGAGCAGGTATCGCCACATAAATCCCCCTTATACAGAGGATAAGCACTCATTTAATGTAATAATATGTAAAGGTTATTGTACATAATGTCATTGTACCCTACGTTTTCTTATAAACAAAACTAGTTTTTACGTAAGCATTCGACACAACGCAGTAGGTATGTGTGCACACTCATAGAGGTTGGAGTGTTCTTGCAAACCTAAACTTAATCCGAAACAAATCTACATCTCAATGTTGCATAAAAAAATAACTGTTTAATTAGTGTAAAAGTACGTCACATTCTATGACATATGACAACGCAACGCATTCGTAAATAACACTGCTTTAGCAGAACATTATATAATAAGCAACTTCTTGGGAAATAGCCGTTCTTCATAGCATATCTATGCACACATGTATGCGCTATGAAGAATTGCCATTGCTCGAAATGTCACTTGCTATATATTGTTTTAAGGCAGTGTTATTGATGAATGTGTTGAGTGTTTTTTTTTGTTAATTGCGCTTTGCGTACCACTGCCAACGTAGCATCGCCAAATAAATTGCTATGGAATATGGATCAGAAACATATTCATGTTTGTGCTACTCCGCACCTCCGCTTGTTGTCCTTCCTCGCACCTTCAGTTAGCTCGGTTGGCGAAGTAAGGTGCGAAATAAGTTCAACATACGTACATTGACACAGAAAATTGAACAGCAGAAAAATGCACAAACAGGACGGCCAAGTGCATTATTCGAATTAAAATGGTTAAACAGAGAACATTTACATTACGTAAAAAAATATAGCAAAACGGATATTTTATTAAGTGGTATGGAATTCCATATCATTAAATACATATATTTTGTATGTAGGTACAGTACATATTTGCACTCTATCCTATATGCTTTACATACATATCCTATAACGCCTAGATTATAACTTGAATAGCCCAAGCAGGAATGTGGATGTTTGAAAAATGTGTTTGTTTAATTCATCCAGCATTAATACCTGTTTTTATAACATCAGCCTGGGCATTATGCTGTTTGACGTTGTGCTTGTTTAGCAGGCGTTTCATACGCACCCGTATTCATGGGCTGCAAGCAGCAATGTGAGGGCTCAGCAATAGCCTTTTTATTTAGCAAGAGTTCGTGTGGTGTCCATCAAATACGCGTTATCTAAAAAGCACAAGTCTGGAATAATCGTCTTTAGGCTATGAAACTGGATGGCCAACGCTGACGATTAATAACAGAGTGGCAGCCAATGAATTAAACGTGTCCAAGAGGATGCCCACCGAGGAGATGGCGCAATCCATTCAGTTCACGTGCAGGTGATAGGTGGGTTCGTACATTGCAGGATTGTTAGTCGGAGGTGCTAATTTTGAGAGGGGGCGGCGATTTGCAGAGATCTCCATCCAGAAGTGGACTGACCATGGCTGATGGGGATGATAACCCTTATATTGCGACTGAGTGTTTTTAATCAAAAGCTCGATTCCCATTACTACTCAATGTTTTCCCACGAAACGCAAGGACTTGATGGTAATACATTGCAAACGATTGTCTGTGGAATGCACAATACACGAAGGTATTCTCACACTTTTACAAGATCCCAGTGTTTTATGGAAGGTGCTGGAATCCAATGATTGTTACGTTGTTCGATAATAGACACCTAAATTGGTTGAGCAAATCGGAGATGATTTAGTGACTGACTTTTAAACAATAATAGAAAATATGCTGTCTGAATGTAAAAATATACACATTTTTGCATCTATATCAGGGACATGTTTCAGTAAATTTCGCACGTATACATTTCTATTTTTGAGGATTGTGTGTATGTGCATGAGTGCACATGTGTCTGAATATGTGTTGTTATCGTTTGTAGGGACACTTACAGGGAGCTGTAATGGGACTCCTGGAGGAAGAACCTGGAATTCATGCTGAATGAAGTGGGTTGCGGCATCCACATAATCAGACTCTGATGCCCTGGCTATTTTGAAGCTGTGAAGAAAAATAATTAATGTGAAAATGCCAATAAACAACTACGAGCAGGTCTGACGATGAAGAAGATGTCAACAATGCATGTTGTATTTAAAACATTATAGTTATGATGGTTCAATTAATTGCAACCTTACATACTAATGATTTTGTCAAAGTGAAAATGTAGCAAGCATGATTTATTTTCTGGTGAATATGTAGCATGTGCATACAGATTCTGTTTATATGTATTGTGCTGGAGTATCAAATGTAAACCTTCAATTGTACAGAAAGGCAAATTAGAAATAAGATTGTATTTTTTACTCTATAAGGGCCTGTATATTGTGTGTTCTGTATGTGTAGTATTGATATGAGTACCAAGCCTTTACTATACAAATTGTACATACAAACTTAGAAGTATTTTATTCACTGTTTATAATAGTAAATGGACTTTGGTAAGGCATATGACTGGAAGGGATGATGGGAGAAAGATGGCTGCGGAATGTCAGCCAAAGGAGGGAACATGCCCAAAGTAAGGGTGGAAATCATGTCGGGAGGCATTCATCTAGCAGTGAATCAAGACTGATGATGGGACATCAGGGTGGCGAGATGTGATCTCCCTCACTTGGTATATGCGTCGTGGGTTTGATCTCGACCCCGACTCCTGCATGTTTGGAGTTAGCGTGTTCTCACCGTGGTCGTGTGCATTTTTCTGCGGGTCCTCCGGTTTTCCCCTCCACATTTAGAAACTTGCATTTCGATTTGTTTGGCTTTTGCTATAAATTCCCAAGAATGATATAAGCCACTGTATGAGCTATCAAGTGTGGCCAGGTCCCTGCTGAAAAAGAGCTAATAGCTCAGATGGCTTTACCTGCCAGAATAATAAGTGAGTTTAGACATCCACACTGTATGTGTAGTATTGATACAATTACATTAGAATGCCATACATATGCAACATGAATATTATTACAGTGCAGAAAACTGAAATGGCCATGGCTTGGGGAGGCCTTCATCCAGCAGTGGATTGAACCTGGCTGCTGCTGCCGAATTAATAATTAAATAAATAGTAAAATATATGAATGAGGCTGACTCACACCAAATGTAAAAGACCTTCAGGACCAATATATTTCACCATAATCTACAGTATTTACCAGGGGGGAAATCTAGTCGAGTATTATTTTCCCTGAGTGTCATTAGCAGAATGTAGTCCATTAAGCAAAGGCTGGGGTACATTAATTGGAGTACAGAAAATTGTACATTTAGTCGTGCGTGCTCTCTTGATGGATTGTGTATATACACTCATTATGAAAAACAACTTCCTGTTGAAACGATTAACGATATGCTGCTACAACAAAACGTCAAAGTGTTCTTGCTCAAATGAGCAATGAAGCAACACTCATCCATGTGTAATCCTGACTCAATGGTGGAAATTGAAGTGTCTCATAGCACTACCACTCATTTTGAAAAACTGTATTAAATTCAGAAGTGTGTCTGCATAGGAAGTGATATCCATACTTAATGAAAACGCAATAGGGGATCGTGATGTTCATTATTAGCTCCTAGGTGAGAGCAGAAATTAGTAGGAGCTAGGGTTGTCCAGTACTGTACTCGGTTTTTTTTCTCATGTAATTGACCAAACATCTCAATGCAGGACCATCCTGAAAATGTGGTAAGGATTGGTGAAGCTTTTCTCTTTTTTATGACAATATTAGCGTACCAATTTATTTGACAAATAAAAGTGTATTTATTTACAATTATTTTAACATCCAAGTATAATCTATAGTCTGAGGTGGCCAGGAGACAGCAGCGCAGGAATGGATCGTCGACTTTATCTGTACAAAGCTCTGCTTTCCTTCCAAGTGGAAATTGCTAATTCATGAAATTGAGACTTACCTGGGTAAATAAAGAACGTTATTCTCATCATTACCGTTTTAAACCTCACAATAAGTTACATACAGTATCTGGTCATGACCCCAAAGGCTATACAGTATATCCTGTGTAAAGAGGGAGCCTTTTTCAAACACTAACTTCCTGTCACATCGACATCATTGTTTATTTTTCACGTTCAGCATCAGTACGATGTGATGAGGGCTCAGAGCATGCCCATACTTGTTTCACTCTGTGTGGGTTATTTCCCTCTTAATGGCCTATGCTGTGGCAGTGTTGGAAGGTACCTTCTTATTGATTCTTTGCAAACATCAGTTCAAAGTGTCTCCATGCCAGAATATGCAAATTCTGTAGATTTTCTCTTCCTGAGGTGGTGTTCGAAATTCCACGTCGATATGGGAGCATCAGCCTATCCATCGGGCTCTTTGTATGTATGTTGAACTTCTTTCGCACAGTACGTAGCCAATCGTGCAAATTGGAAGGTGTCTATACATAGATAAAAAATAGTAGCCTATGGTTACCTAAAATTTTCGAAGTAATACAACGTGGAGCTGGCCAATTGACTGAGGGGTCAGGGCACTGAACCAGCACTGCTGAGATGCTGGCTTTGAAACCCAGCAGCCACTTGTGATTCAAGTGAGTTTTCACGTGTAATGAATCAGTGATGATGGCATTAGAAAAAAAACCCCATCATATTTAATATGGTTTTCATTAAATTAGCTTTTCACAACAATTTTCAGGCACGTTAAGTAGTGCCCTCGTGTGGATAAGCAGGCCTAAGGAAGTGACTTCAGAAAGAGTCCTGTGACGTTATCTTCCAGGGCTGTTCTCTGACACAAGGTGATGCACTCACTTGCATACACGGATAGCACCATTGCAATGTAATTGGGAGTTAAAGTAAGCATTGCGGACGACCGCTTGTGTGGCGATCGAAATGTTGTGATCTATTATTATTATAATTTTTCTATTGATTTTGGTTTCCTCAAACTATTGAACCTTTATGTAAATACAGATGGCAATGACAGAAGCCATTTAGCTGTTGACAACCCCCCACCTTTGGGTCAACATAATTCTGCCCGAGAGGACACGAGAGCAAACAGGTTGTCTTTCGATTAACTGTTTGTGTTGTGGGCTTTATAGAATGATCACCTTGTATGTATTATGAGTTTCGGTGAGGCACACACATCATCCCAAGTGGGACCCTCATTAAAATGACTCTGGATAATCTAGGGCAAAAAAAAGGTTGTTGTTGTTGTTACATTCATACTTTGTCGAGTGCAGGGGTCGGCAGCCTTCGGCTCCGGAGCGGGACGCGGTTCTTTTCGGACTGCTTCATGACATTATTTATTAAGGACCACCGTCTCGTAGTCGCATGCAATTGCGGCTCTTGAAATGTTGAGTTTCTTTACCGAATTAGAAAAAAAATACATTGCTTATTTGTTATTTTGGTTTCAGTTCCATGGTCGAGTGGAAGCAGCAATTCAACATTAAAAAAAACGTGATCAGGCAAAGAACAAGTGGCAATGCATCATACACCTAAAAATGTGTCAAACAGCAATACATAACAGAAATCTCGGCATGCTTTGCGCTTAAAAATGAGATCACCAATCTTGTGCATATGCTCCACACGGTCTTGTGATGGCCACTCACTAAATAGAGCCAAGAACGTCAGCAGCACAGGACAACTGTGTGCCAATCTCGTTACAGTATTATTAGGACTCATGACTACATAATAGCCACGTGGGGGAGAGGGCTCTTCAGCATTAAGTCACTCGGACATAAATGACAGGAGGCAAAATGTGTGCGAAATATGTGCAAGAATGATGATATCGTTTGGACATGCAGAGCGTGCTGGGATACGGTTTGTAGGTTTAAATTGATTTTTGCGCATAGATTATGGCTTTTATTGTCGGTTGTAATTCCAGTTAACGTTCGATTATCCGTGGATGGATGATTTGGGATTAACAATGCTTGCGAAAAAAAATATTTACGCTCACGCTGTTTTATTCGCTGCAAATCACTCGACGAGGTTTATTGACTCAGTTACTACGTGACCACAAACGTGTTGGTAAACGTATTGAGGAGCAATAAAGCACACGCATTATGTTTCAATGCAGTGTCACAGATTCATTCCTTCTTGTTTTGCATCATCAGCGTTGTTGTATTATGCAGGATAACCCTCCCCCAATTACGGGTAGTGGTGGCTATGCACCCCTTTAATCCAGCACTGGAGGCGAGGGTTAGTGGATCGCAAAAATGTTGGTAAACAAACGTTGCGAAACTCCCTTCCCCGGGTTTTGCCAAGGTTAAAGCGGTACAGCAAAGTGTGGACTAATTTCATCTGTCCTTTCTGTATGGGATAGAGTGTTGTCCCCTCACATGCGTGAGTTTTCTCCGGGTGCTCCCGGTTGCCTCCCACGTGTAGAAATGTGAATTGGCTGAAAAAAACATCTTCATATATAGAGGACTGCAGAGCCTTGGAAATTGTTGGCATCGGCTCACCACGTGCGTGTCTGTGGTTCCTTAGCAACTGTGAGATTAAATTTGCATGAACGATGCTATATAAAGCGAAACATTATTATTACCTCCGATAGTCGAGCTGGCTGTAAAACAAAATCGTTAAGTTTTCTGAAGCAAAAAAAAATCAAAATTAATCCCCTATAACTCAAAATGTGTTATACTTTGAAAATGTGTTTCTTTGTGAATATCAAATTACTTTGAAAGGGTAACTTAATGAGATTATGTAGTGACAGTAAAGTACGTGTTTTTTTGAAGATTAGTCATTCATATGTATGGTCTGATATTTCTGGATGAATACAATTCCGACTTGCCTTATACAATCTACAATTTAAGAAGGGACAAAAAATGTACACAATCTCAATGTTATAAAAATAGGTTTTACCCTTTTAACTGGCACAAAAACTGACACCTTTATTCAAGGCATCATGTTTGCAATAACCACAACACAAGCAGTCAAAATGCAAACAAAATAGACAACTCTGATAATAATATTGGCACTGTTCTTGAACTTGATTGGTCCACACCCGAGACGGCTTTTCTTAGAGCCTAGTCTCCACTGGTGTTGGACCAGAAGACGCCAAAAGGCGTACAACTCAAAAACAGCACACTATCAGAGTATTGAGGGCTCGGGGTGAGCATTTACATTATGAGACCTCCTTTGCCAGAAACAAGATATAGGAATAGGTTTTACCCTTTTAACTGGCACAAAAACTGACACCTTTATTCAAGGCATCATGTTTGCAATAACCACAACACAAGCAGTCATTATTATCAGAGTTGTCTCTTTTGTTTGCAAACAAAAGAGTTTACATTTTGACTGCTTGTGTTGTGGTTATTGCAAACATGATGCCTTGAATAAAGGTGTCAGTTTTTTGTGCCAGTTAAAAGGGTAAAACCTATTTCTATATCTTGTTACTGGCAAAGGAGGTCTCATAATCTCAATGTTATAAAACAGAGTATTACATTGCAAACGTAACATTTAGTTCACAAAATATACCTAAACAAAACAGATATTTCACTTGTAACAAAAAAATGTTTCCCCAAGACCATGAACCTTATTACCAATTCAACTTCAAAAACTAATCACACCATCACCACCACCAACGCAGACCGCGAGCGCTCGACAACTTCCAAACATCTAAAACCCCGATTACGGCCGTTGCACAACGCGCGCGACGTCACGCCACCACGTGGTGTCAGTCAGTAGATGTCATGGCGGCGCAGGGTGGCGGCGGCGTGGGTGACGAAGGTCGAGTCGCTCAGCGGGTGGACGCGAAGCATGCGGGCGAGCTGACCCAGGAGCAGGTGAACTTCATGCGCACCGTGGAGCGCGAGCAGCTCCGGCGGAACGTGCACCGCCTGCGAGGGCGCAACCTCGGAGTTGCGCTGGGCCTGGGGGCCGTTGTGCTCGGCATCTGTATCCTTGGCGCGTCGAAACTCGGCTCGGCCTGCTCGCTCTGCGCGAACCCACGCGCCCCTCGCGATTTCGCGGCCGACTTGCCGTGCACTGCGTGGCGTGTGCCCTTCGCGTTGTACTCGCACGCGTCTTGCCCCCGCGCCGCGTAGCCTGGCGGTGACCCTCCTTGCCGCGTACTGTACAAATACGTGACTACAGTAGGAGCTTTAGTTCCGAACGGGCGTATTGTTGGTACAAGACTGCATTCACGTGTTGGTGCAGCAGCACACGGTATGTGGTTCGCGCTGTGCTATAATCGCGCATGATTACTGTGCGTATGACTCCAGGTCACTATTTACTATACACCGCACGTGGTGTTGCACTCATGCAGGTCACCGATTCTTCATCCGCACTCCGCGCGCTCTAACCCGCTCGCCTTTGGTACTTGTCCACAGTTTTGTCGTCGATGCAAAATGTGCACTTAAGTTCCGATTGTCGCGGACCCCTAAGGTGAGAGTTGCACGTTCAATTGCCAATCAAGGGTTGGTAAAATAAGTACCTCTTTAACCGCCACTTAGAATTGTACAGCACAATACTTACCGTCACGTGTACTGTTATCTGTATTTTGGCTTGTGCTGTGTATGTAGCGCTGGATTCTGGGCGTGCTCTCTTACGTGTCTGAACAATTCGACCCATCCATCGTACGATGATTTTCTCTTTAGCTCTGTTATAATCAACACTTGGGTAGATACAGACGTCCGGGTTTGCCTGGATCCGGACCCACCATTCTATCGTTTTTTTATCATATTCTTAAATATTGCCAGCACTTACCCTGATGGTTTATAATGGGAAAAAAACACGGCGATGTTTTCGAATAAAATGAACACCTGACCGAAACAAACCCATGCTGCTAAACACATTGACCTGTAAACCAACCCTTAGCATTTTCTCTAATTGATACGAGAGCAGGGACCTCTCCCTATTGCCATCTTCGCTGCTTCCTTAACCCTCCACCACCCTGCTCGGCAGACGGATACACATTCTACTCTGTTGGACAGGAGCGTTTCCTCGATGACATCGATGAAGAAGTGAAGGCGGCAAAGGCACGCAGTGAGGAGCGCCATTCCAACAATTAAACCGACCTCGCACGGCCCTGGGAGTTCCGGCTAAGCTGGTCGATTGCTTCAGAACAGGACCAGGGAACTCGGATCAAGTCCTGAGCAAGTCCCATCGCTGAACCTCATCTGGCTGCAGTCGTTCAAACACGCGAGGTTTTCCTCCAGCACCGTTCTAAAACGTTGACCTCGTGGATTTTTTGTTGCTGTTATGGGTCATTAATATTGATGTCAAAAGTGTATATCATATTCAAGTCTCATATATGTAGGTTATTTTTAAAGCGTTGACAATGTTTTGAACCCTCCCTGGTTTATGGGTTGCGCTATGGTGATTTATTTTAGTGAGTGTTACGCACTTTGGGTTAGTGTTGGAATTCAGGATTATGGAGTCACGCTTTAGCGTTGTGGCTTTCCTGTGGATATAAATGATCATGTAAAATGAACACATGACAGAATGACCGACTGAACGAATGCAGTGAAGAAAACAATGGATTTAAGCGGACTTGAGGCGATTTGGGTAGGGTGTCTTTCCAGTCGCCAAAACGGCTCATGTCAGCCCGACTTGTATTTAAAAATGTTAAACATCAGCTGATTAATGTATTTAACAACAAAAATGTGTCTTTGCAACAAGACTGACAACAGCAAAGGGGGCTATGTAAAAAAAGTTGAATGAATTCCTGTGATATTAAACATGCAATATTTTCTTTATACGGTATATCCATAAAATAATTGTACTGATTATGGTACTTCTAATGTGTAACCGAACAGTACATACTTTATTTATCATGGCAACATGACATTCTTCTTACAAATTGTCATCATTGCCTTGTTTATGGCTTAATGGTTCATTTGATGTGTAATGCAATATTGCATATTTGGCAAAATTTTTGTCTCAATTTAAACTACAGTAATTCAAGTCAAATGTTATTGCTCATAACTTCTTTAGCTCCATTTCTAGAAAAATAAATGTCATGCGATTATTAAGAGATTACATTGTTGGTGTGGCATTTCACCATTGGCTTCGGAAGGCACATTTGAAAGATCTTTACTGCCGTGTTAATGTCTATCCACCGATACTACACATGTTAGTCTGATGTACGACAATTTCCTCCATTGCACACAATAAAGGGCAGCTTTCTTAATCTTGACTGTTTACAACTTTAAATCTCTATTAACATGGCATTGCACATGTCTGGAGAAGTTGCAATCAAGAGTGTATTTGTATCACCATTTAACCAGATGAGCTGAAAATTGCTTGTGTTTTTTAATAGTTAATTTTGCAACTGGTTATTTTTATGAATTTGGGCTTTGACGTGGCACACAGCCTATTATAATAGCCACCTTGTCTGAATCTTTAACAGGCTCAGCCAGTCTCGATTCCTGCCACTCTAGGATGACTTGCATTTTTAAGTTCATTTGCTGTGGTCCTGCACACGCCGCAATGACTAGTGGGTTCCCGTGTTTAGCTGTGCGATTGCATGGGAGACGCTGGCTAATTACTGGGCTGTATAGTACTTGAGTACAAAACCCCCCACGTACAAAGTACTAAGCCATCCATTATTAAATGGGCACAAAAAATACCGTAGTTAAATATCTTTGGGACCTTTTTGCCAGTATCAAAATTATGAAAAATATAGGAATAGGCTTTACTCTTTATGGCAACAAATAATACGTCAACCACATGCCACTCTGCTGAAAGTGCATAATTTCGGCAGCATTGTTTCAAGACAACAAAACTGGACTGATTTTGACGTGATTGCTTTTCATTTAGAATTTGGTTAATTCGTTATACATTTGATCTACTCCACCTTAACAGACTTTTTGTAACATAAGTTATCTTTGTCCCGCAGTGGTTCGGCTTTTAAAATCTTTCAGGCAGCACGATCGGAATAGTACAATTCTATCATTCGGAGAGAGACAAAGAATCCCACTTCCTGTAATCTCTACGATCAAGTTGCCACTTTGAAATGTATGGCGTGTACTCCTTTTCACTGAGCCTCACTGATTTACAAACGTACAATATTTCTCTCAAAATAGAGAAGAAATTGTACGTACCCATATACCTGTCAACACATAATTTTTGTTTTATTTACAAAATCATCGGCTGCTCGGCCTTGCTGGTGTGCATTATTTCAGCAGCAATGATTCAGTTCAAGAAAATTGGACCAGCTTCGACATGCAGTGTCTCATCAGCAGTATTTATCTTAGTTCTGCTTGCAAAGTTTCAGTCGCCAGCCAATTTCAATACAAGCATCAAGCCCCGCCCACCGTGTCTCGAGCCACAACATCACAACCCCCCCCCCCATCGAGGCTCAAACCCCGCCCACCGGATCTCAATCCCCGCCCACCGGATCTCAAACCCCGCCCACCGGATCTCAATCCCCGCCCGTTAAGGCTCAAGCCCCGCCTACCAATGACCAATCGATGCTCAAGCCCTGCCCATCAAGCACCAAACACCACGCCCACTGCCCCGGAAACGCCCAAAGTGAACCGGGAGTCCTCTAGCCGAGCTTCGCGGCCCGGCGTGCCAAATCCGGCATACACGTGGGACGACTCGAGTATAAGAACTGAGACCGAAGGACTCGGGAACCCTCGGTGTGCGACCATTCCGGAGGCGATGCGGTTTCGGGCGAAGCTCGTGGACGTTGGTTGCATCAACCACTTCATACGTAGGGGCCCGTCGCGACTGCGCGCTCTGCACTTTGAACAGTAACCGTGCGTGCATTCATCACGCAGTCGAATAAAACCCTCGTTCCATACACCCCTTCCCCTTACAGCCTCCATGTGTGGTACTTGGCAAAGCATTGCACCCTTGTAACGGTGTCTAGGCGTGTGCGAACTGCGCACTGTGGGCTCGCGTGCATCGGTGTTTGTAATGGGCTCACGTGTGGGAGGGCTGATAAAATTAGCACCGTACCACCTCCACCTGGGTCAATCGGGTGTCAACTACGTGCACTGACCATGGTATTCTTGATAAAAGTCATCGGATTTTTTTTTTTAGAAAGCAAATGAGGCTGTTCGTCCACGTGTGTCAAACGTTATTTCTTTAACCTTGCCATCAGTCGCACGGCCTTCTCGGGAGGGCAGAGTTTCAGCAGCATTGGTTCAGCACAACGGGCCTCGGCATTCAGTGGCTCATCAGCAGTCAGGTTACAACCAATGGTTGTGAATTGCAAAATGTTCATAGGCAAGGGCCCGAGCCTCCCTGTTAGATATGCCGCTGAAATTCTGCACTCCCATTTTTTTTTTCTGGTGGAGGAACAGATGTATGAGGGAGGCCGATTGCTTATTTATATTCTGGTACGATTGATTGGTGGTGTTTGTTGCAGGGCTGCTCACCTGCATCTCCAAACTGACCAAGGCGTGCACGATGCGGATCACCCCTGACCACCTGCACTTCACGCTATCTGACCGGGCCTCCCAGGGTGCCATGGGCTTGTGGTGTGAGCTACAGCAGGTGGTCACTGCTGCCTCAACTCGCGTGACATATGTTGCACATAGGGATGTGTAATTTGCATTTGTGTCGGATGTACAGTACATGATGCATCATTCTGAGATCAGTACAATCGGCAGCGGTGCGCGTTGTGGTGACCTGGACACAGGTGGTGGAATCCCGCAAAGTGGCGGTGGTGTTATTGACACCCAGAAGGGTGATGGTCCGAGTCAAATTTCGGTACCTCCAAGTGTTCATTGGGATCTTTAATCGTGACACCGCCCGGTCAAGTTCCCTTAAAGTTCTGCCGATTGTGTTGATCGTAGAAAGGTGCTCCCTATTTGCCGCTCTTATTGTGCATGTGTCGCTTCTCCACCCGTCACATCCCACCTACGCCAGGCCAACTTCTTCGATAAGTACCAGATGGACGGGGTCTCTGCGGAGCACAACGAGATCTACCTTGACGTGGCACCCGAAAGTGTGTCCCGTGCTCTACGCACAGCGCAGGCAGCCAAGTCGGTCAAGATCAAGCTGACTCGCAAGCACTGCCCATGCCTCACGCTCGCCGTGGAGCTGGTGAGCTCCACAGAGTCGCCAGCCCCGCTCCTTCGCAAACAATACCTACGAAATATTCGTGATTCAGTTGGTTGCCTGTCACCAATTCAGTTAGAATGTTCCCAGTCGCACGAATTGTCGGAAACTAAGCAGGTTTGAGCCTGAACACTGGATGGGCAGACGCCGTGCATTAAATAAGTGTTAGTGTCGTCTGTTGCAGGGATGCATTGAGGGAACCAGAAAGAACTGCCCTGCAATTTGCTCTTGTTTTATCCCATTCTCCAAAATGTATGCTCCCCACCTTTACCAATCCTCCGATTAGCACGGTTGGCTATGTACGGTGTGAAAGAAGCTCAACATACATATAGTCCGCATTGACCGGCATTGTGGAGTTGGTCAGATAACCCCCACGGCCCACACACTGTGCAGAAGCTCTTATCGAGTAGTGGATTGATAAACGGGCTGCACGTGTACATTATTTATTGATCAGGTGTCACTGGCGAGAACCTTTGACTCACAATTGGAAGGTTGTGTGTTAAAATCTCATTTGTAAGTTAAAGGAGACAATAATTCCTCCTGGATTTGAACTTCTGTAAAGTAAACACTCATGTTCATAGACTGGCCATCATATAAATGCATAGTTCCATTAAAGCTCACTGCTGTTGTTGGAGATGAGTGGCCCAATGCTCATTTAAGCAGGAGGGTACTTTGACATGTGTATCACAAAAGGGACCATGGTACTCATGAAAAATGAGCTCAACTTAGCCTTGTTGTGAAGAAGGGCCATTGCCAAAAATATTCCTATTTGTATTCTGGGTAGTTTTCATCATAAGGTATTGCTAGTGCCGAAGGTGGTAAGTTTTTATTTAACCTTTTGTTATATACATGCGCTGCGTTTTGTTGATTCTTGTCATGTATTTACTGTGCCTCTCCCCACTTTGTGACACCACTTGATGTTAAAGATCGTATGACATTCGAAAAAGTGTAGGCCCTGTGTGCCGAATTTGAAAAATATACTCATTAATTGCTTAATTTGAAAAAAGAATAGCAATATATTACCCTCTACTGAGAGACTACTGCCCACTTGCAGGCCAGTGCTGCGTGACCTGTACGCATGTATGTTGAACTTCGTTCACACCATACGTAGCCAGCCATGCTATTAGGAGGTGCGGGGGAAGGACAACAAACTAAACAAAGAGCATTCATGACCCTGTTGCACACGACGACAGCTGCCACGAAAGGATCCCCCTAGGCTTATAAACGACATATGCTGAGCAATTTGTTGCATTATTAGTGCGATATAAATGCAAGTGTTTTTCTCCCTGCTCTTTGCCCACAGTTGACAGTGACAGGATGCAGCCGTGTGGTCACGCACGACATCCCCGTGTACGTTGTGCCGCGGCAGATCTGGTGTGACTACCGCGAGCCCAGCATGCCCGACTTTGATGTGAGACCCCGCACCGCCTAACTCACCCATGCTTCATTCCTACTTTAATTTGTCAATTCATATAAATTCTTAAGGTCATGCATCATATGTGCACAGATTCCGAGGAGCCGCAGCATCACCCGCTGTGCCTCCAGGTGGCGCAGTGAGGCAGGCCCTACGTTCACTGCAGTGTTAACACAATAATCTATTCTTGAATTGAATTGTGCCCTTGAATTGTGACAAATCATTGAATCTCGAGGGGGACGAATTGCTACAAGCCGATTGTGAGCTGCATGATCACCAGTGTTGGGGTGTAACGACATTACTAAGATTTCCAAAGGTGGCCAGCAGCTGACAACAGCATGCACTGGTTGATTACTCTTTTTCATTTCTTTTTGCAGTCAATAAACTGTGTACCACTTTGTGGCAAGTCAGATTTGGTGGTTCCGTGTACAGACTGGACCCCACCATAGGAATGTGAAATTTCTATCACTGGTCCAGGGCCTCTAATAAGTACCGCTCTATTGCTTGTTTGAGCAGGGAGGTGTGTTAACTTTAATTGTTGATCACCCATCCGTGTACTGTTCAAGCCTGTGTCTGCTTAGCAACTGGAGTTTGAGTTGGTCAATAAAACCAATCATTGGGATTGCCAAACATCCAAATTCAGGGACAGTCTTGTAATTTAGTCTCAACACTCAGTGCATGGGATTCCCTGAGGAAATAAATGAGTTATTAATACGCTGACGTTATTTTTTCATTCTTGAACAATATATTGCATTCTGTCCGGTACATACTGTTTTGTTTTTACTTTCAGGTTGGTATTTACCTGCCACCCTTGAAAACACTGAAGGGTTTCTTGGAACGGATGAAGAGCTTCAGCAACTTTGTGGTGCGTGCGAGCATTTTGTGTGCTCGTGTGTCAGTGCTGGTTGTTGAGGCACTATGCCCATCGTGTTGCATGTCACTGTGCTCTGACATCGTAACCCATACAGGTGGTGGAAGCCAATCAGAAGGGAGAGATGAACCTCAAGATAGAGACGGAGCTTTTGACTGTGACCACACATTTCCACGACCTGGGAAAGGCACCATGGGGTAAATGCGTACCCATTCGCGCAATGCACCGTGTAAGAAACTGTGTAACATGTTAACATACGCACACAGACCCATTCACACACATATTTCAACACAAGATCCCCATTTAGTCAAAGTCTGAAGGGGCGAATGCTAACAGCACATGCCCCAAAAAGTCTGGCACAGCACACTCGGTGTTGGTGTGGCCTACACCAAACTTTTTTGCTTTTTTCTTCTGAAGGGAGAGATGAGCTACACCACGTACTCAATTAAGGCTGCATGAATATAGGAGAGCAACAGGACCAGTTCAGATGCCATGTGTAATTGATGTTAATAGCCACGAATCCAGTATAGATTGCTGGGATTGTAATTCAGTGCAATAACCAATGCACGACTTTCCTACTCATACACACACATTCTTCTGCACACATTTGCCCAGGAACATGTAGATATATGGGTGATGTACTAATGCACTGCAATACAATCCCAGTGACCATAATTATATTGTTGCTTGCACATCACGTTTTCAGCTTTTAACTAAAATCTATCCAAGGTTCTGAAAGGTCAGCTCACTCTAAAATAAGTACTGCAAATGAGACAACGGTGGCTGGGTGTGTACAGTGCTGGAATCACAATCTTGGCCGTAAATGGTGCTTTCTAAAAGATTATGCTTTCACATTCGATGAACCTCAATGGGTCGTGTTTTTCTCTGTTCGTGTGTGTGTGTGCAGTGAGTGACGGCACACAGCAGAGGAGTGGAGAGGAACGAGACCCAGAAGAAATGGCGAGTGCACGCACGGACATCCGGAAACTGCTGCAGTTTGTGTCCAGCCAGCTGATGACTCCGAAAAAGGCTGTTTGCAGTGAGTGTCACCTATTAATTAATGTTCTTCTTGAGAGCAACGAATGCTGATTGATAAGGTTCACTGACAGTGATATGAATGGTATTTGAAGCATGACGATTCCCTCAACAGAGAGTGGGTGTCTCCTTGCTCAAGCGAGAGTAAGAGTCGGGCACTGGGTCACCTTTCTTCACAGCTCCTTGCCTGTGATTGTAATTTTGCATTCTTAGGATGGGTCCCTTATTTCCGTAGGATGACCACTTGACCATTCTACTTAATTGTTAGCATTTTGAAAGCACCAGAGGCATGATAGTTGGCCCTGTTAACCCCTGACTGAACTCACAACTTGGTATTGTGAGTAGAGTGCATTGTCACTTCACCACCCAGCTGGATATAAAAGCTGAAAAACGTTGATGGACATTTTGAGAGTAACCAAATGAAACAATGGCATTTTTGTTGTATGTATGTTGAACTTCTTTCGCACCGTACGTAGCCAACCATGCTAATAGGAAGTTGGGGGGGGGGGAAGGTCAACAAACTTAACATTTTTGAAATTGTTTGAGATGAGCCTTGTTTTTGTGATTCCACATGCTCTACAATAACATTGTTTTCAGTTGGTCTTAGTTTAATAATATGCTGAAACGATTTATCATTGACTAAAATCCTTTTCGGGTTTTCATAAAATCACCTTATTGGTTTCTGGTTTTCATGAAATCACCTTTTCATTCTTTCATGATGTTGCCAACTCTCTCAGGACACTTTTCTCTAGAGGGTCCTGCTCATGATGTTATGTCAATTCTAAAGTTAATTCTGATAAGGTCATTAACCTTTTTGTACTGTCTTCTATCGAACATTTCAGCTACCTGCAAGTTGGGTATCTCACACACACAATGCTTTTTGCGCGATCCACTTAGCTCTAAGATGTTCTCAAGAGTGCTGGTTTTCAGTAATGTACCGCAATGACCAGGCAAATTTGTACTGAAAATGTTTTGTGGTGTGGTATGCAGACATAGTGGACAACAGCCTACTGCACTTCACAATGTTTCATGAAGACCACATCCTGCAGTATTTCATCCCCGCCATGACGTTATGAAATGTCTTTTGCTCATTTATATTAACATGGGACTCGTCTGAGCCAGCTAAACTACGAACATGGTCCATGTGTGTCAATGAGTGTGTGATGGTACCTGTGCGGGTGTGGTATTGTAGCATTTTGCGCGCCGTCCTAAATGCCAGCAACAGTGACGACTATCTGAATTGGTCCTGGGCCACCCCTCGTTCAACTCGGCCTCAAATGAGTACCCGGTGCGGTGTGTAAATATTTCCACAGGGGGACAAAGGTGGCCAGGCGTGGTGCTGGCCACCCACCCCAACTTGTGCCGTGCCAGCCTTTATTGGTGCTTTCTAACAGCACTTGCCCCAACAGTCTGTGAAGGCTCTGGAGGATCTTTGTCTTTGGTGGTACCTGTTATCAGTTCAGGAATCCTACAGTCAGGAGTTGACTCTTTGGCCTTTCTAAGTGCTGTGAAGAAAGGCTGTGTTGCCAGAAATGTTGCCTACTGTAGATTTCCCTTGCTTTATGTGGTAGATATTTAAAAAAAAAAAGGCATACAAAGTGAAACCGCATGAGACAGAATTAAAATCGCATGTAGCTAATCATGGGTAGAAATGAGCTAGCTGCATATCCTAGAAATCGCACAAACTGAGCCCACATGAAGCATGGGAAACCTGTATATACTTTTGTTTTCCTTTTAAGGCAGTGCTATTGACGAATGTATTGAGTTTTTTTAATGTGCTTGTGGACCATTAACAATGCAGTATCGTCAAATAACTTGTTGAATCAAGAGTTGAGATCATTGTTTTATGTGACTTAAGTTATTGCCTAATGTCAGTTGCGAATACTTTTGTACGTCTGTTGTGAGTGGTTGGTTTATTAAGTTGCACTTTGAGCGTTTTCCAATTTCACGTCGTCATGTTTACGAGTTTCACATGTTAATCAAACGAGTTCCCCGGAAGACATTGGAAACAGTATATATTCCAATTCGATTATGCTTTTGGGTTAAAATGCTAAGCCTAACTTTAGGATACTGTTACGTTTTGAGTTTTGTATAAAATTAACAATAGTGTTCAGGCTCTTTGTCATTCACTGCTGGATGAAGGCCTCCCCATGCCGTGTCAGCTGTGGGTATCGATCGACCATACTTCACGCTGGTCAGTGCGGGTTGGTGAAGGGGAATCCCCGTTCAGTATTGAATTGCCACTAATGTTAAATATTACCAGGAGTCATAGCACAACGCACAAACCATAATTCTACCTTTATAGTTCTCAAAATTAGTTTTTTTGTACATGTAGTGTAATCCTTTATTAAAAGCTTCATCCTTTACATTGCTTTCAAGGTATATGCAACGCCATTCCTTGTTTTAATACATTTTGTACTTATTGTAAATGTATACAGTCTTTAGTTTTAAAACGTTAGCATCCATGTGGTCCTGACCATGTAATTTGTTTAATTTTAGGTCGGTGACTGTGAGAGCCACTGTCATATCTTGATTGGTGTAATTGAATAAATTACAGACTGGTTTAAGAAGCGCATTGTAGATTATAGGTCTGGTCAGAATTTTGCAATATAACCAAATTTGCCAAGTTATAAACATATGCTATGAATACAATCCATTGCCAAATTAAACATTACTTGTGCCAAACAGCTGCCCCTTTTAAAAGGTATTGGAGTGTTCGCCCACTTACCTCATACCAAAGTCTGTCACGTGAATTAAATTGTTGAGCCTCGAGTTATGGTCCATTTAAAGTGTTACACAATGGTTTGAAAACACAACCCGAGGCAAAGGTGACCAGGTTGTAATTCTGTATCCGTGATGATTCTCTGTTGAGGCCTAAAAATGATTAATAGTTTAGCCTGTGGGTTATATATAGAAGCAACCTCAAAATTTCCCACAACTTCAAAACATGGTGGGTCAGATTATTGTGTTGGCAGACATGCAGTCTCCACTTATGTTTTGTAAAAAGCACTCAAGATCATTGCTATTTTTCTACAGGTTTGGCTGTTTGTGCAAAAAATTGGCAGCGAAAGTGCCCTATCTGCTAACACCTATGTAGGCGTGTTGAGCACGTGCCAGCCTTATGGATATTACACAATGGCTGGGTGCACAATTTTTGTACTAATAAAGTTTCACTTATTTGTACACGTGTTGCTGTTTGTGTCTTCTTACACTGTTTTTTTATATGACGCGTAAAAAGCAGCCATGTTTAACAGGCCCTTCAGTGCAGAATGAAGAAGATTGCGATTTCAAGTCCCAGCCAGGGTTTGACTCGGTCCTTTCCTTGGGGCTTAATTAAATTTGTACCATTTTGTGGGACATGAACAGCAGGTTCCAGAGTATAACTCAGAAGTAAATAATGATTTTTCACGCTTACAGTGATTGTTCACGCTTACAGTGGCTTTCAGACAGCATACATTAATTTTCGTCTCCCCCCTCCTCTTTTCAGAACATAGATGGACTCGTCCTTCTAAATAAACTGCCAAATCGCTGCGCGTGGCGCTGACGTTTTTTTTTTATAAATACACCGTTTAAAAATAAATGTATGCAAACCGACACACCTGATGACGACCGTTTGTGTTATGGTCGAAACGTGAGATTTTTTATTTTATATATATTTTATTGTTTCCCTTCAACGTGACTTTACCGAAAGAGCTAAGAATATGAATAAGTAAATAATGGTTGCGATATTGGGCTTGGTAAAGCTATGAGGAATCTTAGGAGAATTGCAATCAATACTCTTAACACCCACATGCATTTTGGTTCTTAAATGTTTTCTGTTATGACATTTAGGATCGTACTACAATCTTAACCTGCCAAACTTATGATACATTTTAAAACAATGTTCCGTCTTCTGGCCCCAGGGTTGAAAACGAATGCGCACAGCCCTGTGCTTGTTTGAATAGGAATTCCAATTTTTTAAAGCCAATCGGAGGAAACGTCATTTCTGTTTGAACTTGAAGTTCCCTAATAATTTCAGCATTAAATAGATTTAAATTATGCTGCACCATGTCTCAACTACAATACAGTGCAGTACATCACAATTTACAATGTTTACAATAGGGCGGGGGTCTGTTTTGGCTAGGGCAATGGTTTCCAACGTTTCTAAGCCCCATGGACCACGATAAATCCTCAAGTATATGGTGGATAACCATGCAGTAAAAATATGTTTTGTGAATGTTTTTGTAATCAGCACTAGTTCTGCAGACCATCTCCCACGGCCGTGCGGGGTACTTCTGGTCCATAGACCATAGGTTGGAAACTATTGATCTAGGGAACAAAGGGTTTGGGTTGGAGCTACTTTTCACTGAGTGGCAAGATTGGTGTGAATTGTGTTAATACACGAGTTACGTGCCTCTGTGAAGCCAATGTTTACGAAATTACATTCATCAATAGAGTCAATAAACTTCCATAGTAAGTGATTTTAATGGAACTGCCTTCATCTACATGCAGTGTAATAGAGGCTGTCTATTTGAATGACAGTGACATTTTGACTTTAATGTTTCACTCAGCACAATCTATAGGTCGAAAATGTATATTGAAGTGCCAGCAGATGGCACCATCGTCAAAAGCTGAACGTGTATAGGATTTTCTGGTTCTGCATGTAACTTGATAGAAATCAACAACATTGAATTGAAATCCACACACATTTATGCAACATTTACGTTGCTGTAATTTTCGTCAATTAATACAACTTCTTTTACTTCGTTCAAATGTGCACGCACACGACAGCATTTAGTTCAGAGCAGTCAACTTTAAATACATGTAGCAAAGGTGCCTTCCGCAGATTTCTAGAGCTCTCTGTTGCCCCACAAGGCCTTGTGAAGCATTTTCAGGACCTCCTGTAGGTAATGACTGCATTCTTTTACCAGTCAATTAAATAGGAATCTTGGAGCTAATTGACTCATAAAGGCACTTAGCTGTTAACGTCCCAACATGGGAATACAACGCTCAAACTCGCCCTTTATATTATGTTGCCTGCATTTGTCTCACATTGTTTTATTTATTTTTGGCTTGTCTTACCATCATCTGTTTCTCTCTTCCTCTCTCCTGCACACAGTTCTCAGTCTTTCTCTGCTCGTCCCTCCAACAAAAAAAACCACATAGCCCGCCGATTGCGCAAGGGGATGTCCACGGAATAGATGGAGCAGTGAAATCAGTTCATGTCCAGGTGCTGCGTGGATTATTACAACACAGGATCGTGAGACGTGGCGGCGGCAGCATGGGGAGGCCTTCATCCAGCAGTGGATCAACCATAGCTAGTGAATGTGCAAAATCATTCCTTTACTGTGTGCAAAAGCCCCACGGTGTTCATGTAGGTGTCTTTCCTCGAATCCCAAGCACACCAGGAGGACCATCAAACTACGCCCTGCTGACGAGATGCAGAGAAGTTGAAACCCATTCAGAGTTTTCCTTCAATAAATGTTGCTGGAAAAAAAAACTTGTGTGAAGAAATAGCATTGGTAAATGGAATTAAATATCCCTTTGGAAAAAAATGACATCTTCTTTGGTTCTTTCGGTAAAGTCACGTAGAATGAAGGTCGTGATGTGAACGTGCTTTTTCACTCCAGCGCTGTCCTACCAGACAGTCTCGTCCCTTCACCTGATGAAGGCCGCTTGTGTTGTGGCCGAAACGTCGTGAGAATATTATTGTGTTATTTTATTTTATCAATTTATTATTTTATTCTCATTCTACGTGACTTTACCGAAAGAACCATAGAAGATGAATCATTGCAGTCACGAAAGCTTTAAATCGAAAAAAAAAATGAAAGTTACTTTATTTGTTCATTAATTCCATGCCAGTGGATATCGTTTCGACAACTTTTCGATATCTTTTCGATATCAACTGCCAGCTGTGTTCGTGAATGCCTATCAAGGTGAGCGCAGCATATGATGTAGTAGTGGAGTCAGCAAACATGTACACCCAGCCACCTTTGTCACGCCAATGTTTGCAATGGGGCGGGGGGTCTGCTTTGGCTAGGGCAATGGTTTCCAACGTTTCTAAGCCCATGGACCACGATAAATCCTCAAGTGTATGGTGGATAACCATGCGCCTCCCTCGTACCAAACACTGATTTGACCATAGCATTATACATCATGGGCAGAATGTACTATAAAAGTTGCGGATGTTGCATTGAAGTGCACTAATCGTACTACACAAAAGTAAAAACAAATTCCCCATTTAGCTTTGCAGATTAGAGTAAAGGGATGTTAGCGAGCACCTATTGAGTCCAGAAAGGTGGTGGTGTGGCCAACACCATGCCCAGAACCATGCCCAGCTCGTTTTCTCTCAGGTGCTGATTTTTACAATGTTGTAGGCATCAATTTTAGGCAGAGTCAACGTATAAGAGGCGCAAGCAAAGTCAAGATTATAATTGGCACTGGCAATGTGGATCATTTTCAGGGAAATTAATTTGATTCACCACGATATGTGTACTGCAAAAAAACACCACATACAACAACAGTTGCAATTTAGCATGACTGTATTTGATGGGATGTCGGCTAAGCATTTGTGCCAGCCCAGATTGACTTTGAAATGCAAACAATATTTTCAAATTAGATGTTTAGCTATATATCTGAAGGTTGGATTGTAAGAAATTTAGCCCTAGATATTTTGTGGAGAGGTATTTGTAGAAGTAAATGTTAGGTTTACAGAATTTGTATTCTCTTGTTTCTACAAAGCTGAAAGTAAATGCTCTAAGAATGACAACCGTTCATGTTTGGATGATTGAGTTGATCATTCTTTTCCTTTAGCTTGTGTATATATTTTTTACAAATTAGATATTTTTGTCAAATATATAGGTTTATGGCCATTTATTTAGATAATTTTCTCCTAACACATCGATACTGATGTAAAATGCAACCACGCACAAAAAAAACGAATATTAAAATTTAGCCATGTAGACCATAGGGGCCATTGCTGTGAGTAAGCATTTTATAAAGGCGAATACAATACCTGAGAGCAGGTGTGGCCAGTTCCATGCCTGACTGCCTTTGTGCTCCCAGTGTTGATGTTCACACGCAGATACTTATATAAAGATAGCTTGACCTAGGGAAGGCCCTGCCTCATTTACTATTTGCCTATAGTGTGTATGGATGAAAATCAAACTTAGGTTGCTAGGATTGTCATGCATTGCATTGTACTGTTGCACCAACCACACGAATGCGTAGACAAAGATCCCCCTAAAGATTGTTGGGGCAAGTGCTGTTAGCGAGCGCCTTTTAAGACTGGCAGGGTGCCTATGTCTGGCCACTGATGTTTACACATCGCAGCAGGTACTAATTTGAGACTGAGTCGACCTAGGAGAGACCTATGAACTATTTCACACAATCACCACGAATATTAACTGTGGCCTTGAATGAATTTCGGGTCGCCAGCTTCACCCGCTAACCGCTTTGCCACTGCTCCAAACACACAAGAACAAAGATCCTCTGTGTAGCCTACACAGTCTGTTGCGGCAAGCACTGTCAGCGAGCACCTATTAAATCGTTGCACAACGCGTGATTTGAGCGGTTGTTACCAACACCATACCCGGCCACCTTTGTCTCCCCCAGTGCCACACACACACACACGCACATACCAAAAGCCGTAACTCACTCAAATGCTCCACTCGCACACTCAAAACTCTCGCACAACCGCAGAGGCGCGGCGCGCGCCAGCACAGCCGCGGACACGTGGAACGCATTAAGGACGCTGCTGCCCAGTCTCCCCCAGGGCCTCCCAGCCTCAAGGAAATCCTGCCTCTCACGTGTCAGCAGTCGACCGTCAATTTTCATAAAGATGGAGTGTGTGTGTGTTTTTTTTTGTTTAAAGGCGCAGTGTTCGCGCCGTTCAGCCTCTTTGTTAAGTCCCAGGGCCCCCTTGTCGACGTTGTCAATGGAAACCACGTTTGCCATATCCCAAAGAAAGTAAAAAAATAAAACCACCCGAAAACTTCCCTCGACCAATAGACAAAAAAAAACACACACACACCGATTTTTCGAAAGAATTGAACTGACATATTAGGCAGACGTATTAACGGCAAATGAATGTCTGGTTAATGTTATTTAGGTAATAATTGAGTGCTGTATTTTTAAAGCCATTAGCCTCAAACATAATTAATTACATCCATATTGAGTGAATCACAGCGGGATTAGAAACATTG